TTTCTACCCCTTCAGAGCTCAGGTCACAGGTATGCACTGAAATGCCAGACTTGTTATGTGGGAGCTGGGATCTAAATTCCAGTCCCCATAACTGCATGGCAAATGTCCTGAACTTCTAAGCCATCTCTCCAGCTCCAAGGCATCAGTTTTTAATACATAAATTTTGGGGGCACATTCACACCACAGCAATGCTCTGTAATAATACAGATTAATTCGCTAAAGTATAAATATCACCACTGGTGATATGGGATGTGTGCAACATTACATGGAGTAATGTTTATGCTTGAATTTTAACTAAGATATCAATTGTATAGAATATACTTACAGGAACTATGTAGCATTTTGGTACAGTATGCACTGTTTCTGTCCTATCCATCACCTTAATCATTTACGTCTTTTTGTTTTAAATTTAACTATTTGTAAATATACAATTAATTACTGTTAAGCATAGTTACCCTACTGTGCCTTTAACAATCTCCTTTCCATCTCCCCCTCCCCCTCCCCATGTCTCTCCCAGGCTCTGTAACTAGGATTCTGTCCTTTAATTCTAAGATTGTAGATTTGAGAGAGATACTTGAATATTTGTGTTTTGCTGTCTATATAATTTGAGTTTCAAAGAATAAAATGATGCAGATAGGATGGTCCTCTACTACATCATTGGGAGATGCCCAGTAGGACTCGTGTCCTATTCTGACCCCTGATTAAAGGCATCATAGCCAACATGCAAGAGGAATGCATGTAAAGTCACAGAAAAAGAAATCACCAGAAGTTCTAAGACAAATCTTGAAGGCATATAAGAAGCAATCTAGTCCAAGAAGAAAGAATGTTCTAGTACAGGGTGTGAACTAGATAGGTCAGGAAACAGGTGGGGTATTAGCCTGACCCTCACCTTGGTGCTGGGGAGGAATTGATTGACTCTAGACTAACAGCATGTGTCCTATGACTAGGTGCTAAGCTTAGAGTCTGGCTACTTGTGTCTCAGCCACCAAGATCACATTACCTGTGGCATTTATCAGATGGGTACATATCCTACCCCACTACAGCCTGTGTGAATCTCCAGTTATAGGCTGATTTTGACTCATACTGGCCAGTGCTATCTGAGACAGCAGGATCTAGAGAGGTGTAAACAGTGGGGTAGATAAAGGTTGCTCCCTCTCAGGATGCCTTGGTCCGGGATGAACCAGAGCCCTTTCCAACTGGACATTCCCGAGGAAAAAGGAGGGCAACCTTTCCCAGAGCACAAAATAATATGTTCATAGACTCTCTAAAACACATGCTTTCAGTAACTGAATAAAAGAAACATAAAGTGATAAAACACCCTTACAGGAGAGTCTTGTGGTTAAAGAATCCATCTTACTAAGATCCTGACTTCTTTACCTACCTGGATGCCTGATCTAGATCTATATAACCTCCATCAGCCCATTTCCTGATTCATTAGATCAGCATACTGATAGGCAGAATGTTGTTTTTTCCCAGTGTGGTAATATATATAAATGAATCCACACATTTAAAGAAGGTGGTAAGATTGTTTGTGCCCAACTCTAAATGTACATGCTGAAACCTACCCCCCAATATGATGACATTGAAAGTGACTAAGTACTGATATTAGTGCTCCTCCTCAAGTCCTGAATCCATTAGAGATCTTACCAAGAAGACCCTCCAGAGAAACTTCTCTTCTACCATGTGGGGATACAATGAAATGTGCTGCCTAGAAACCTAAGAAACAGTTCTTGCTGGTGCCTGGGCTTGAACTCTCCAGACTTCAGAACTGTGAGAAGTAAATTTCTATTGTTCACCAGTCCCCTAGCCCATAGTGTTGTTATAATAGACACAAGACACTGAACCTAGCACATAATAGGGGCCCAAGACGTTCTACCTAACAAGGTGACATAATTTCAGGTTATGTAAATATAGGTACATACATGTGCATGTAAACACCAAGTCACCTGGTGAGTTCAGTGCTCATCTAGTGATACCTGGCACATGAAGGACTACAGGGAAGGAGACCCTGGCCTCCTATACAATTTCCACTGTCCTCTGCAGGTTAGCCCCTGGTGCCACCCAAAAAAGCAAAGGGCACTTTAGCCATCTATGAACCTTGGGGGGTCTAAGATCACACTGTGGGATGGACAGTTACTCTGAAGAACTTTAAACAATGGCCAGCTGTCGGTGGATATCAGCAGGCTCCAGCCCTCTACCCCCATTGCATTTAATCAAAGAGTATTCAAAATATGATTCTGGGAGATTATAGTGGAGATTTGCAGGAGGCTCTCAGTGTAGGCAGAGGTAGTGGGAACAGATTGTGGCTGGGGCCTGAGGCTGGGATAATCACAGGCTCAGACGTGCCATTCTCAGGCCTTGGGGTTCACCATCAGCTCTGGAAAAGACCTTGAGTATTGGTAGGAAGACCAGCAAATCTCATGCCTGCCTCTCCCCCTCCCCTTTCCCAGCAATCGCTGTGGAGAAGAATCTGGTTTCCACCTGGGTTTAGCTGGCTTTCCTCTGCAGTTTGGGCTTCAGTGGCTGGTTTCCTAATGCTGACTTAATGTGAAATGCCCCCCTCCCTCCAAATGACTAGACCCTACAAAGTGTATCAAAAGCCTCTGTGTCAGTCTTCTGGTTGGGGTTGTGTGTCTACCTGGACCAAGAAGGGGGCATGGTGGAGAGCGCCTTGAAAGAAACCTTCAGCTAATGCTCTTTATTACAAGCGTTAATCCTGCAAAGCCGACTGGAAATAATGTTTATCTTTTCGCAGTTTAATTTTCCGGACCCTAAGCCTCAGGTCAGCAAGGGCGACTGCAAAGTCCCTGGAGAAGCTAGGGTGGAAGGTGGGGGGTGGGGTGGGACAGGACCAGCTGTTGCCCAAAAGCCAAACACAGTGGGGGGAGGTCTCCCAAAGGAGATGGGGGTGGACACCAAAGGAGGGCTTTGGGCTGCAGCAGGAAGCTAGGACCAATCAAACTGCAGTTTGAGATGTTTTCTTATTGCCTCCTTAGGCTTCAGTTTCCTCATCTGAGGAGACACTAGTCTTGTCATTCTTGGTCTTTAAAGATGCACCCTACCCCAAAAGGTTTTAGTTTTCTATAGTCCCCCTCATGTCCAAACCTCATTTCTCTCCGGATCTTCCAAAGGCCTTAAAATCGGATGCTTCTGCTACCCCCCCCCCCCAGTCTGGAAGGCATCAACCAACAGGGGCTGGTCTCACCGCTGAGTGGTCCAACCCAGAGAAATGAAGTCCTCAATACATACCAACTCTCCTTCCTAGTCCCCATGACTTCCCAGGGCTCCCTCCTAGGCTCTGCCTAGTTCACTGTCTACATTGGAAGCTATGAGTTTGCCCATTGGCTGAAGCTGCATCCTCTGAAGCTGGGATCTGGGCTTCATTCTGACTTTGTTCTGTGGGCATCTTCAAACCTCTCACCCAGCTCCCAACTCCAGACAGACTCATAAAAGGGACAAGAACACAAAACCCCTGCCCTGACCCTGTACTTAAGATTAAACAGAATATATCACTCTGTGGTTTCTACCAATTCCTCAGAACTGCCCTGTTTCACCATTGTGTTCCGGGGAAGCAGTGACCCAAGGGGCTATCAAATTTCCCTTCATGGATCTTAAACACATTACATTTATAATCCCAGTGCCACTAGAAGACAAACACTGCTCCTCAACAAATATCCTGATGTCTTTCTGCTATTCAGCTACTGGTTTGTGCAGTTTGGGGGGTTACTCTGGTCTGGGCATTGTGTGTGGTTTCTTCAGTTTCTGTTTCTGCTATAGAATTCAGGTCCTCAACCCAAGACCCTGTCCCCAGAAGCCTTTGTGATAATTCCATGCCCCACTCATGGTCCACCAAACTTGTCCCAGTGTCCCTGGCATTGATAGGCTGCACACGTTGGGTTCAGCTAGGTTATTTTTGAAGTTATAGCCTGGGAAGGGGAAGGAAACACAGATAGTCTTTAGGGACCATTTCAGCAAGGAAGTTACAAAGCGAGCAGGCTGGGCAGGGGTGGGTGAGCAGGAAGAGATGCTGTTCAGGCCCTCCATCCGGAGAAGGAGGAAGAGAGACTTAGTCAAAGTATACTGAGCATCCATTGAGCTTTCCCCAAGGTGCCCAACATCTCCCCTCCAAGGCTGATTAGGTACATGTCTGCCTGGCCAGCCCCAGCTCTGCATGAAGGGTAGCTGCTAGGATGGTTCTGCGTGTCTGTCTTGGGCAAAGTGAGAACTCCTGGTCCCTGCCAAGGCCTGGTAGCTTCTTCATATGAAGGTGAGTCCAGAAGCAGTCGTTTCCAAAATTAGTCTGTAAACTGCAGCCATTGCGCTAACCTGCTGAGAGAGGAGAGATTGATTAAAACCCGAAGGCCGCTTGGCCATAATTTCTAGAAAATCAGAGGTCAGCTTGTGTCCCACCCCAAGGGAAGCCAAGGTCTAGAGGCAATTTGCTTGTCAGAGGTAATGCTTGGGCAAGTTATGTGTAAATTCACATAACAATGTAACCCAATTTTCTAAGACAAAAGCTAATCCTGAGAGAAATTACTACAAAGACCAGAATCTGACATAAGTAATTGCTGGAGGCTGCCTAGTGCTTAGGGACTGTCCCTTTGTAGTAGTAAAGTTCCCCTTAACCAGGTCCTTGCACATCAGAGGAAGGGGCCATTAAATGTCAGTCTTGCCATGCTAGGGGTCAAACCTTTGAGAGTATCCTGAGGGACAGCCTGGACCTTGGCTTCCAAGTTGTAAAATTCAGGGAATGTCTGCACTGTTGGAATGTTTTAGTAGGCCGGGAGAAACAGCACACTGACCAGTAGTCCATGATATGTACCCCCAGATAGCCCCAAAAGTCCGACCAACTCTAGCACATGCTTAGTACCAGCCAAGCAGACTCCAAGTACTCTCCTAAAAGGGCAGAGACCTTGCAGGGTTGTGTACACAGGGCAAGACTGTTCATCTCTTCAAAGATTATGTGATTTGGGGGTAAATTCTCTCCTTGACATTTATTTTTATGATTTGGTTTTAGATTTGGAGTGTTTAGACTTTAAGAGTATTGTGGATATTCTCTCATCAGACCTGGGGAAGGTGATGGGCTGTTTGTTATCTTTTGGACAGGCACTCCCCAGCGCTTCTGGGGTCCCACTACCTTCAGCTCCAGACGGGTACTGGAAGCGCACTTCAGGCTCCCTCCACCTCGGGCAGGGCGTACAATTCAGTGGCAACCCCTGCAGGGCGAACGTGGAGTTTCCAAAGGCTTTGGCTGCAAGAGAATCCTCTTCAATTGCTGAGTCTCTGGAGACCAGGAATCGCCTGATGGAGATGGGCTGTCTGGGAATCGTGTGGCACTCTGGACTTTGTGCCCTGGGCGGGGTTGAGGGAGCATCTTCGACAGTGCTGGCTGCAGCAGTGTGAGCCAAGGACCAGATTCGGGGTTTCTGGCTGCTTGGGTAGTGAACGATCATTGTGGGGCCACTTGGCTCTGCTGTAATGAAGTCAGCTTCTCCTGATCGCGGGGCCTCAGTAAAGGAGAAGTGAGGTATTACCAGGCTGCCCTCTCTGCTCTCTAAGCGGCTTTCTTGAGCAGCAGTGCAGGGAGCAGGCAGGGACTGTGCGCTTTTCTGAAAACCCGCCAGCCTGCCAGATGCTGAGATCGCTGCCTCATCTTCATCTGCTTCCTCCTCTTCCTCCTCTTCCTCCAAGTCTTCCAGGTCACTCAGTCGCAGCCCCTGGGCCTCCTGGCTGGCAGTAGCAGCTTCTGTAGGAAATCCAGAAAGAGTGAGAAAAGCCTAGTACCCTAGGGAAATGCGCGAGAGGGTCCTGCCCAGAGAAGCTTTTAGCGAGTGGCGCTCAGCACTTCAGCATTGCTCTCGCCACCAGCTGCTCTCCCCAGGACTGACTGCTTGTCCCAGGGGAAGAATTCCCCACATTGCCTTACCCACCCGCCTCTCTGATCTCCTGGACCTGGCTTAGCCAAGAAAAGGCTGCTTTGCACCACTGGAGTCCCTCGGTTATGAAAAGAGGAGGGACACTTTTCTTCCAACTTTAGCACCCACGGGCGACTGGTGTCATGTTATTTAATCCAGCAAATATGCACGTGCGCAGGGCATCGTTTCGACATTCACGAGACGTTTAGAACTACAGCAGCAAAATGTCCGGGGATTTGGGGGTGTAGGGAGTGGGGATGGGGGTGACCTTCTAGAGGGGTAGGCAGGGACAAAGTGCAGCAAATTTTCTTACAGTGATAAGTATTGGAAGCGAGCAAAACCAAACTGGGAAGGGACTTGAGAGCTTGCATGAGGCGGGGAAGTCTTTCTGAGAGGACATTTTGAAGCTGAGAAAAAGCTGGAGCTACACTGTTTCTCTGTGAGGTACTGATGCAAAGGCCCTGTGGTTTGCACTGCATGGGGGGGGGCAAGGATAAATGGAGCGTTAGAAAATCCATAGTAGCACAGGTGGCTTTGGGTCCGATGTTTAAGGAATCTGCCAGGTGGGCTGGTGACTTGTCTGTCTGTACCTTTGGTGTCACCTGTCAGGCAGCCTAGAGAGTCTTCTCCTGTGCTGTCTGCCTTCCTCTCCTCCCCACCTTTGTTCTTGGGCGCCCACGTCATCTTATTCTCTTTCTTGAGGCGCCGGCGTGCATTGGCGAACCAGGTGGACACCTGGGTGAGGGTCATCTTGGTGATGATGGCCAGCATGATCTTCTCGCCCTTGGTGGGGTACGGGTTCTTGCGGTGCTCGTGGAGCCAGGCCTTGAGTGCACTGGTGCTCTCCCTCGTGGCGTTCTTCCTCCGGCCAGCACTGCTCAACTCCACTCCACCATACCTGTGGGCAGATGGGGCTTGGAACCAGGGGCTTGGCCAGAAGAAAGTTCAGGTGCCCAGAAATTTAATTCTGCTCCCGCCCTTCTTCCACCAGGGAGAGGGCAGAGATGGGGGGCTGGATTATAAAAGGAGGCTAGCCACCATGCTCCCCATTTCTCACCTGTCATATTGATACTGCCCCAGAGTTGGCTCATAGGGGTAATAGGTCCCTGGCTGGGTCAGGCTGGGGGTAAAGTTTCCTGCAGGATCCTTAAACTCATACTGAGGATTCTGGTGGGAGAGGAAAAGAGAATCCAGGACTACACAAAAGGATACCCGTACCCTGTAGGATGGACACCCAGACACCACCCCTTGCATTGGCTGTGCAGTGTTGGGCATAGCCATTTAACATTTAATGTGCCTCAGTTTCTCCCTTACTAAGATTGAGACAATAAAGTCATTCATGCTGGTAGAGAACTTGGTAGAGACCTAGGAACAGAATAAGCAGCAACTGAGCATCAGCTACTAAGATGGCTGCAGCTTCTGGATTCCTCACCTCATATACACCCACTGGGAACCCTTCCCAACAGAGTATTCCTGACCCTTGACATGCTTGTGATTTGGGGGTAAGTTATTTGAACTCCTCTATGCCTCAACTATTCACCTGCAAGCCAAGAATAGTGATGATTTAACTACCTTGAAGAATTAAAGGGAATACAAACGTTTTCTAAGCAGTGTGAAATTTTGCAAATTGTAAAGTGGTGTGAACTTGGATTTGTCCTTACTCACTATGCTATTTTCTCAGCACTGTCTGTCCCACATAGATTTTTTTCTGGACAAGGTCACAGCAGGGTTTATCTGTGCTAATTGCCTATACTCCCAAGCCCCAGTGTTCCCTGAGCAGTCCCAGGCCCCACCCCATTACTCACCAGTGTACCACACAATGGGGATGGCTCTGGGCCATAGGGTAGGTAACCAGGGTAGCTCTGGGCAGCTGCATAGGGTGCCCCATAGATGCCCAAGGCAGCACCCAGCTCTGACCGAGCACTGCCCAGCAATCGACTGTCATAGGGTGTACAGCAAAGAGTAGAGGCAGAGGTGGAGACTGAGGCCACATCTGACACTGATCGTGGGGCAGTTTCACAGCAAGTGGCACTGGAACTTGCAGACACTAGAAACTACAAAAAACAGGAAAGGAGTCACTAGAAGTTAAAAATCCAGACACACCATCCACTGGCTCTAGCCAGAGGAGGGTAGGGAGGATGCTTCATGATGCTTATTCTAGTTAACCAAATACTACCAGGTGCAGAAACTCTCTGCTGACTGCTGGCATGAGGATTCTCTGATGGAAACTTACCCAAATTGCTTTTAGGGATGCAACCAGGCCATTGTTAAGTCTCCACAGTCCCAGCCATCTTGTGGAAATAGAACCAAATCCCTACCTCTCCCCAAGGGACTCTACAAAGGCAGTTAGAAGTTAGCCTTCAAAACCATCACCAGAATCGCATTGCTGTCCCCATTGTACTAAAATGGAATCCATTCAAGATCAAAGTAGACTTGTCCAAGATCCCACAGCAGGTCAAAGGTTGACCAGACAGTAAACCATAAATATGTGTGTGAAGAGAGAGAGAGAGAGAGAGAGAGAGAGAGAGAGAGAGAGAGAGAGAGAGAGAGAGAGAATGGAGAATAGTGGTGGGCATCCTCAGAATTCTCCCAGGAAATCCTCAAGACTATACAACACACTGGTTCAGAAAGCGGAGGGATGCAGAAGCGGAGAGCTTAGGCCAGCCCAAGAAAGGTGTGGGATCAGAACTGAAGCTAACAAATGAGCACCGAGTGGTGCCAGTGCTCTAACCTGGAGCTCATTTGTTTTCTACTGATTGTCCATTGGCCACCTCAGGAATCTGTCTGTACAAGGGGAACCGTGACTGCAGGATCCCTCAAATTCCATGCCCCTCTGTGCAGAGACCAAGGTTAGAGTGCCCCGTTTTCAGGTGGCACTCACGAAAGCTCCCAGTCTGGATGTCAGAGGGTGCGGTGGCATATTTCCCTTCTCCCTCTTGGATTCTCTTGGGTCACTGAGAAGTAGTAGCTCAGGGGTCAGAGCGCGCACCGGGCAACACCTCCGCCCCCGCCCCAGTACCCTATCCCCCAGTAAGGGACCACTCACCTGGGATGTGCCACCATAAGGATGTCCAAAGGGCGGGAAGGCCATAGCTGCTGACCTTCTGGGGGTCGCTCTCCCTCTTTCCTTCTGAGTCCCTGGCTCGGCTCAGCTATTCGATGGCCCCAGCCTAGCGGCTTCTGGTTTCCTTACAGGGCTGCAGGTGCTCGGCTCCAGTTCCTTGGCTCGCTAAGAGGGACCAGAGGCAGAGCCAAAGGCAGCAGAGCTGCCGAGCCCTGCTGGTGGGAAGGCACCCCTGCGGCCCGTGGGGTCCTGAAGGAAGAGGGGCCCATCGATTGGCAGAGTTGGGAAGAAGGTGCAGGATGCCAAAGGCGCGCGGTGGCAAGGTGAGGTGCTGCGCGGTGCGGGGCTGTGAGATTCCCAAGTTGTCCCAGTCCAAGGTGGCCAGAGGCTCAATGTGACGTCACGGTAATCCCGGGCCGCCAGAGGGAACCTAGGGCCCCGGGGCCCCGGGCCACCGAGCTTGCCAAGCGCAGCCAGCCCGTGTAAGCGCGCGCACTCTCGGACACTCTTCCTTGCTCCGGGAGGTTTGTGCAACGGGCGAGGAACGTCAAAGACCCTGACCCGCTGCTCACCGCTAGATCCTACCAGCTTTCGCCTCCAGCTCACGCGCGCGCGCGCACACACAAGCACACACACAGACCCTCTCCAAATTTCCCGGGAGAAGTGGGAGATGCGCCTCCCTGCGCGGCGCGCGGGCCCAGGGCGCAGCGTGCTCGCCTCCTCCGCTGCGGCCCCGAGGAGGCGAGAGGCAAGCGGGCGGCGAGGGAAGAGAGAATACAAAAGAAGAGCCCAGAGGAAAGTGGGGGAGTTAGACAAGGGTGGGGGAGAAGAAGGAGGGAGAGGAAAGATGAGGAGTCTGATGGCGGGGGTGGGAGTGGGGGGAGTGGGGTGGGCGAGGGCTAGGCGGAGGCAGAACAGGAGCAGGTGGGGGAAAGCTGTGGCTCCCGGGACCAACCTCCAACCCACCTCTGCCTCTCTGCTGCACCAAAGTTTGTTGGCTCTGCCGGCCTGGAGCTCTTAGGGTTGGACCAGCTCTGGGCAGCTTTGATGGAGCCCATCTTTGTCCTTGGGGACTTGGCTTGGGTCTCAGTTTCCTAAAGCCGTTGGCTAATTCCAACCCTGGCCAGGTCCTTGACCCCAGGGGTGTCTCTGTAGGGGTCTGACCCTGGGCTAGACCGACGAGCGCCCCCTCCAGATCAAGGTGCAGCATCTGTTAGAGAGCTCCCACAGACGTGCCAAGTCTGATCTCTGGCATCTGTAGGCTGCCAGCTAAGAGTCTGGGCCATCTCCTCCAAAGGCCAGGCTTGGCTGCCTCCCGAGCGCCGCCTGCGGTGTCCGCCCAGAGCCTGGAAGAAGGTCGAAGGCAACAAGATCTGGCTGCAGCTGCTGCGCTCCTCTAGGGGTGGCGCTGATGAGCCGCAGTGGAGAGCTCCCGGGGTGCTTTGCCTGGGACACCCAGCTGGGCCCAGTGGTGTTAGAAAACCCTCAGAAGAGCTTGGATTCTCAAGGGTTGGGGCGGGGTTGGGTTGCTCGCCCGTCTCCCTGACTGGGGAAGCCAGTTCTCAAGTGGTACAGATTTTGCACATTTGCAGGCTTAACACCCTTCCAAATACTCTACATGGCATAGATGTCTAAGAGACAGAGGACAGGTCTTAGGCGGCACTGCTGCAGCACCAGGTGGAGTTTGCAAACCAGAAAGCCTTTTCTTGTAGTCACTGGATAATAGTGCAGTGCACTTGATAGCTTTTGGACAGTCCTAGATCTTTACTACACCTTCTCCAGGGATCGTTGGGGGTTGCTCAAGAACAAGAGCAAATCTGTCTGTCTGTCTGTCTGTCTGTCTATCTATCTATCTATCTATCTATCTATTAATTTATTTTCCTATTGAAACTCGAGACACTGTTACCCAGAGGGTACTGAAGGCTCTGGGATTTTGCTTGGCAGAGGTATCTCAGCACCAGAGGCAAGGCTGAGATTCCTGGCAGGGAAACCTCTCATGCAAGCTTGCCTCTGGCCTCTGGCCTGGTAGGCCATAACCGGTGACCTCTTTAGAATGTCACCTTAGGCTCAGCACCTGCTCACCTCTCACAGCTTATGCAGAATACACAATGAGTTTAAAGATGCCATGAAGCCAACCTAACCACAGCCTGAGGTTACCTTGGAGAAACCTTGCTGTCAAACTGGGAGAGTCCTAGTTAGAAAAAGAATTATAGTCGTTGTCAGATTGACTTAGTAATAAAAATCACTTGATTTTCCAAACCCACTTTGGAGCAATCCACCCCTTTATAGCTTGGATAGCGTGTGTGCTATCTCTCTGTCTCTCACTTTTAAAGTAGGAATTGGAAAAAATTCATTAAATTAGTCCCCTGGGGAAGATTACTACTAATTAATTAATTGCAAACATTTCCAGAGGGAAGGTATGTCAATTGTAAAGTAATAAAATAAGATAGTTGGAATACTTACTCAGCAACTTTGATTGCCCATTCATTCCTAAGCTGAGAATTTCTTTCTTTCTTTTTTTTTTTTTTTTTGACAGAAAAATGGGGACGTTGGTGTAAAAAAGCATTAGCCCTGTCCCTTGGCGATATTGCAAAGTAGGAACTGCCTTATAGGATTTATTGATTTTCCCTGATTTATAAAGCCCTCTGTGGTGTCAATGCTGTGTGTGTGGGGACTCTGGGCCTAGATCTTCTTGTGTTTGCTCTTGGATGTGAGAAAACCAACAGGATTTAGAAAAGAAAACTTAAAATTAGTAGCAAAACAAATTGGGAAGTAGGACTGACCAGAGCACAGCCTTTTCCTTCTGTTGTGTCCGGGTAACACACATGGAGTATGCTTTCTATTATGGTTCTTTACCTGTTGTTTTCAGAGTTGCTTTATGATTTGGTGGCTTTTATTAGAATGAATCCTGTGGAGGAAAGCTGTCCCTGTTCCCTCTGTGTTCACTACCCTAAGAGACTCTGGTTTAATGTAGCCTTCCAAGGGACAGGGTGTAAGTTCAACAAAGCCCCTCTGTATTGATGGCTCTTGGTTGTTAGAACACCCCTTGCATATTTTAGTGGAAGTCCCTAAGAATGATTATTATGAGATATGCCTCATAAAAAAACAAAAGCAGCAATTTAAGCCAATATCCACCTCTGGCAGAGCCCTCAGGGGCAGAGAAGTCTTTTTCTTGAAATTTCTAATTCAGGAATTCTAGAGTTTGCATTCATCTTCCTCTCTGTTTCCAGACTCTCCCTTCCACAGCCTGGTGCTCTGGGCTCCTCCATCATGTCAGCTTTTCATTGCTTTGTTCAATGCTGATTAATTTATTTTCGGGGGAAAAATCCCCAATTGCATATGTGTGCTCATAGAATTTTATTGAAGCAAGTAAATAAACCCATCAAATACGGAACCCCTTCCCCAGTTACATTTAAGGGAGTCAACAAAAACCACTCAGTGTCTCTTGAAAAAAAAAATGATATTGGATCTTTTGTGATATCACGCAATGTGTCTGCTAGTTCTTCTAGCTGCTCACTAAAACTAATAGGAAATAAAGTGCACAGAGGCCCATTCGGACCACAGAGAACATTAATCCTCAGTGTTCATTTGAAGTTCATATTGCTCCTTGTTAAGCACAATGAGGATCTTGAGCAAGTCAAGTAAAGGACGCGTCTTTGGCAATAGCTTGAGAACACTACCTGGAAAAGGGGAAAAGACAAACAAAGCTGAGGAAAACAAATCCATTCTGTAGTGTTTAAATTCCCATGATTTCCTAGTGATTTACACAAAAGACCAGAGGCAAAAAGTAACCCTAAATTAGCTGTAAGGGTCTCAAATTACAGATAGAGGGAGTGAGTTCAGGGGCATAATGACATAGTTGAGACTATGCTAAAACACATATTTTTTTTTTTTTTTTATCAAAGTGTGCAGTATTTTTAGTGACTGTTTTTGAACTGAGAAGAATGAAATTTCCTCCAATCTATGCACGAATGAACAAGTGCATCTGGACAGATGCATCCATAATTTATACTGATCAGTCACCGCAGGTCTCCCCGAGTAAAGCCAAAAGGAACACTAATTGTTTTGACGGAAGTAGTGTGCATGGCATCTGATAGAGAAACACAGCAAGCCCCTGCCTTGCCTGAATACATATTGTCAACAGAAAAGCTGGCATCAGGAGAGGAAAAGAAAAAGGCAGCAATTCCCAGGCGAGGGTGTGAAGCAGCTCCTCTGGAAGAGGGCAGAGAGAAAGGATTAACTTCTTAGAGATAAAGTAGAAAACGCGACTGGATACAGAGAGCCTGGTTTGCAAGCATTGTGTCTAGCTTAGTGCTAAAACTGATAGCTTGATAATAAGAGTCTGTGAGCATTCCTGGACACTTCTGATTTATCTTATTAGAGGTTCCTGAGAGAGAAACACTGAAAGGTGAGAAGAAAGTCCAAGGTGTCACCGAGCCAAGCAGAAGACAGAGAAGAGGCCAGAATCCTGCCCTCTCTATTTGGGTCTTCCTGTAGAAGTATATTTTACATGCATAAAGTCAAATGCAGTCACAAGAGGTTGCTGACTCCAGCTGAACTGTGTGAATTCACAGTTAATGCCTCATGGTGACAGTATAATTTAGTACAGAAAAATCTGAAAAGATGCCACTGTGAGCAAACAAGTTCCAGGAGGATTCTGCGTGTGTTGTGTGGATCTGTCTTATGAAAGGGCTTACTGACATAGTAATTGGGGAGTTTTAAAAATTTGATGTGGCTCATTCATTGAGATAGTGAACAGCAGTCAGAGTCAGCTATAACTGGTGAGCATATGAAAACATGACAAGAAGAGGGAGGAAAAAAATAAAGGCCCTCTTTAAGCAAAGCAAAGATTGCATCTATATGCCCGATTCAAAAACGGCAATAGAATTTAGTAACCGATTCTGTTCACCAAGAGGATGTTTTTTAATCTTTGATTTGGGCACCTCTAATCTGGGCTTGCTACATTAACATTGCACTTTCCGAACAGTCTCTGCACAGAACAGTTCCTGTTTTTTTTTTTTTTTTTT